GCGCGTTGGAGAAGGAGAGTGTGGGCATGGCCAAGGCCACAAAACTGGTTCGATGTGCTACTCGTTTCCCCTGGTATGGAATTGTTGTCGAAACCTTATTTCCGAATGTCACGAAAAACATATGATGAATTATGCAACGTTTTAAGAGCGGATTTAATCAAACAAGATACCAGAATGCGCCGTCCTGTTTCTGTTGAAAAGCGCGTGGCAGTAGGTCTTTGGCGCCTTGCTAACGGGGACACGTATAGATCTTGCGGACTTCAATTTGCTATTGGCGAGTCTACTGCAAAAGTAATCTCAGACCAGTTTGAAAGCGCCTTATGTCGACTGAAAAATAGTTATAGTCGTTTCCCTTACACTGATGAAGAGGTGCAAGAGATAATGGATCGTTTTGAGGAGGAATATCATTTTCCCCAAATTGCAGGCGCCACTGGCGGCTCTCATATTGAGATAAGAACACCTCCCGACAACCACCAATATTATTATAATCGAAAACAGTTTTACAGTTTAGTTCTTCAAGGGGTTGTTGACAGTAAATTGCCCTTCTCTACTCATGGAAATCTTTTGCGACAGGAAAAGAAATTTAACGAGAAATTCAGTGTCATGAGAGCGGTAGTAGAAAGAGCTTTCGGAATGCTGAAAGGAAGATGGCGAATCCTAGCAAACAAAAACCAACAACACTACAAAAGTGTATCACGAACGGTAACAGCTGCCTGTGTTCTCCATAATTTTTGTCAGATGCAAGGTGAGAGTTACGACGAGGATCTACGCAATCCACTCGGACAGCACGACGACGATGATGAAGGTGTGGCCCTTGGAGGAAAGCCCATAAGGCAGCTCATTTTGAATCACCTTATCGCCGAAGGGGTTCTTTAAGTAACTGTGGAAATTGTCAAAGGAATGATTGAATATTAATCTTGCCAGCCTGTTCCAGGAGTTCAAGCCGTGGGGAGCGCCGGCAGGTCAGTTACGCTGCTTTCCCTACTAATTGAACGCCTGGAAAGGCTATCATGACTATCATCTTGCAAATTTAAAGTTTAAAGGGGTAGTCTGGTGAGCTGCGCATGCTCGGGATGTCACTGTCAAAATCGCTCTTCCCGTTCTCGTTTGAATTATACCGTTTAATCGAATAAGCGCCCAACCCTGAATTAGCGCCCAATTCGAATAAGTCCCTATTCTAAAGGCAAAAAGTTAATAAGCGTCCAGCCTCGAATAAAAGCCTACCCCCACCTAGCAACCGGTAATATTGTTCATGAAACCAGACATTTCAAGCAATAAAAAAATTACGATTTCAACTATTTTTAGCACTAAGTACTAAAGCTTTGTTGGTGCTTTTTTGTAACTCAAATATTAAAACTTTAATTTTTATTCACCTTAAATGGAACATTTACTTTTTATTGGGTTTAAAAATGATAATAGTTGTGCAGGTTTTGAGCGTCAAAAGAGGTCAAGAACCAACTAGAAGCGCACCTCAAAAACTAAGCCGATTGTAAAAAATGATTCTTATATCCATGCACAGAAAGGTTAGCTGTTAGCTGTAAGATCAGAAAATAAGTATTGCGGTATTTTCTTTTTGAAATGTTTGTCTAGGACAGGCAAACTTAACAAAAAGTTAATTACTCTTGCGCCCGTGTGAGACCAGCTTAATTCTTTTACCACATTTCAAAATTGAAACTGACATCCCCCTCTAAGTTCAACTTCTTTACTTTCAGCACAACCAGTTGAATTCCTGTGTCTGTATTTGTCCTAAATATACTTCCATAATTTTTCAAATGTTTGCACGGGCGGACAAACCTAGCTCAAGTTTAAATTATTTGATTTCCTCATCTAATTCCCTAAGAACACCAATCTTCTGAATACAAAAGCAGCCTTTTTAAAAGCAGACAATTCAACTGATCAGCTCCGTAAGCTATATTTAAATCCGAATAAAATGACAATTAAACCCTCCAACTTGCTTGCTGAAATGTATCACAGAACAAAAAAAACAAAGTTGCAACCAAGTACTACCTTGTCTTGACCACATAAGAGATTGATCTTAAAAATCTGAACTGTTCATTTCATGATTTCTCTTATCATGTCCTTTAGTCCATCGACTAACAACTTTGTTTGGGTGGTCTGATTTCGTATTGCTTCTTCTTGTACTTCCATGGTTTTAAGAAATCTTTCCTCTTGCTTGTATAGCGCCAGTTTCCACATTTCACACCCTTGCTTTACGCCTGAGTCCTCGGCAACAACTTCTCCCGGATCTCGCTGAGCTTGTTTTCTCTTTCTCTTAGCCAGGGTTTTGCCTTTGCTATCATCTTTAACTAGAGGTTTATCAGCAGTACGTAATGGGAGCTTTACCCTTTTTATCAGCTTTCCCCTGGGAAGATGCCACAGTGAAGCAAGTGGCATTCTCTACTCTGAAGTGGAAGAGCTTCCATCGGATTGTATTTCTGATTCAACCTCGTGACTCAGGTCAGCTTCATCTGCCGTTTCCAGTTGAGTCGATAGTCATTAAAGCAGATTAACCCCATGCCTCGATCCGAGGACTTCATCCAGAGCGTGAAAAAATTCGAAGGTTCCCATAATTTTCTTAGCGCCTTCTTCTCCAGTACTGTTCATTCTTGTCCTGATTTGACGATATTCGTACTCCAAGTTGGTGACTCGTTTTTTAAGTTGTTCCACGGACTTCTGCTGGATTTGTGATATATTCCCCTCCCTGCAGGCAATTTCAAACTCATAAGAAATCTGTTCCCATATTTTTCTCTTCTGCGAGGTGGATACACTTTTAATATCTGCATGATATTTTGTGCTCCAGATTTCCAGTAAACATGGCCATGTAATCTCTGAAAATAAGATAAACTCCATAATTATTTCTTATCCTTGGCCGATGAGAATTATGGGTCGATACAAATCTGGTGTTGTAACTATGAACCTCAGAGGCTAGGGTAAGTGTTCCTTTGAATATCATAGGGACGTTTGTTGGGTTGTTAGTAATTTCATGTGTGAAAACCATTTGATTTCCCATGCAGAATTTCCGCATCTCCCATGTAAACGGTAAGTACCCCAGGTCTGAAAACTGGTGTAAAAATAACATTTTTTGGTCTAAAATAGGGTCAGGATTTGGCAAACCGCACAGCACACCCTCACCAAGAATTCTCACGATTCCCTCCCCCGGTTGCTGAGGACGTTCCATTTACGCGAGCTAGGGCGAAAGTTCTGCCAGAAGGAGTTTTCAGCATACCGAAATGTGCTCGCTCGGTGTATAGAATTGATCAATCGTTTAGAAAAGCTCGTTTCTAAGAAAGTCGCAACTGACAGTTAACTCGCAATGAAGAATTTGATTTACATGATATGTGTCTCACATGATTATCGGTGTTAAAAGTCTTAGATCGATTTAGTCGTAGTTAGACTACTGAGAAATTTAGGGATAAGAAAAGTAGCTTATCACCTATCCGTTTTCGTATGTATAGGGATCGAAGGAACTGACCGTAGCATCTGAAAACAAAAATTAAACCCACTTTACACAAGCGAACCAAGTGAAACGTCAACAGCAAGCCGCGATGGCGGGTAGCAAAACATGTAAAACACACTTCGCCGGGTTAAAATATCCGAATCACATTTCCAAACAAAAAATCCTGTTCACATATTTACGAAAACAAATACTTACCTTCGTTTCTCTGCGTAGTTTTTTTAAAACAAACTTCTGGAACTCACGTGGAGATCAGCGTCGATCGCATCAGGTCGCAAAGGTCCAGTTGATGAGATAAATTTAGCTTGATTGACAGCCCGAGAAAACCGCAAGTCAGCTAAGTCGGCGATAAGGATGGTTTTCAAGTCGCTTGGAACTTTCTTGAATCGTTTCAACTTTCCGACTTAATGAGATGCAAAGTAAAGTTACTTGAGATTTTACTTAGGCCTTTACACAGGCATTTTTCGTTAAGTAAAACTTAGCAACTCTTATTTTTACTTAACGGTCTAGTGTAAAGACAACCAATATTAAGAGAGAGGATATAATGCTAGAAATATCATACAGTAGTACAATCAAAAGATAAGGCACCTCCAGGAAATCGAGTTGGTTCCTACTATTCTTCAGTCATTTTCTTTTAATCTCTATAAGAGTTACACCTGTCCATTAATACAGACATTTTGTGCCAGTCCCAATAGTTTCCATCTGAGAGCTGACTAAGCCTCTGACGACAAAAATACAATGTTACAGAGCAGTCTTAACTTATTCTACTTGCAATCAAATTAAGGCCTCTTCATGTTCCTCTTCATATTCACGGTATTATGAACTCGTTTATCTTTCAGTGTGTGTTCTAGTAGCCTTTTCAGGCCGGGCACTCACTGTTGTCCTGCAAAAAATCATTATAATAATAAATAAAACCATTCTATGATTTAACTTTACAATGGAATCTTTGTGGGGATTTGAAAGCAAATTTGTCAATAGGCTTTATTCGGTTTCTGTGCAATATAACCTTTAGATTTATACCGCAGTGAAGCAGAATTTGTTGTTGTTTATGTAAAGACTGTCACACGACATCATTCGAATGCAATTTTCTAGTAGAACTTTAAAAATAGTCAGAACCTTCTTGGATCGCGGTTCTGTAACTAAAAAAAATATTTTCCATCTTAGTGCATATTAAAACATAAAATATCACCTAAATATTTTCTGTATATCGCGTAGAAATAAGTCAAATATCAAATCTAATTATAGATTGCAGCGATAATTATAGTGAGCAGCACTCTGCGAACTGTTGCTGTAAAACTTGTTTATTCTCCTACGCGTTTCGTCTAACTAACGTAGACCTCTTCAGGGAGTTTTACAATCATATACTAAACGCCTGTATTTAAGCCATAATATGACTAAAAATAATGATGGTAGCCTGCGAAAACATTCGTTTCTCCTCGCTCTTCGTCGCTGGGGACGTTTCGCGAGGAGGAACGTCTGCGACTCAGGAACAGAAATTCCATACTGATGATGCAAATCAATGTTTACATAACAAATCCGGTAGTCATGGGGTTCCAAATTTAAATTTGTCTAATTTTGCGTGTCTTCTGGTCGATTTTGGTTAAATGTTGTGTTCATCTGCCCACGAGCTCCAGTAAAACTCAAATGCTTCTTCTAGAGAAGACTATATTCCACAAATATTGACTGTTTTGTTAGAGATTCTTTGCGTTTACATTTGACCTTTGTGGACTTTTGCCTTTTGTCTGTCATTCATAAACAATAGCTAAAACAATGTAACTGCTGCGTCGACCAATCAGCGCTTGTGACCAGATTCCGGACAGATTTTACGTCATCAGTATGGAATTTGTGTCGCTGAGTCGCAGACGTTCCTCCGCGCGAAACGTCCCCAGCGACGAAGAGCGAGGAGAATTGTATGTTTTCGCAGGCTATAATGATGGTCGCAAACATTGAAGGTTTGGCCGGATTTACGAAAAGGAACAGGCGCAGCTGTGAAATTTTTTACGCAATGCGTAAGAATACTTTGGGGCCACGGTTTTAGCTAAAACCGTGGCCCCAAAAAACTTACTTGCAAAGATTAGCTAATGTTACAGTAGCTTTGTAACATACGGTACAGTCTATTTCTGGCATAATCCTGTTGATTACATTCCTAATACGTGCGTGACTGCAATTAAAAGTAGTCTTGAATACAGTAGCCCGCTGAGACCTATTCTTAGCTTTCTGCAAAAGCCACTTCTTTCTGTCGCTGTATCGTATTTCGCGAAACAGTGGTAGCAAAAATGCAAATGGATACCCCCTCAACCGTAGCCGCTTCCAGAATCTCTCCCTAGTCTCCGAAAAAGATTTAAAGGAAGAACTGTTTCTAGCATACCTCATTAATTCCCCTTTAATAAAGGCTTTCTTATTGCTAGAAGGATGAAACGACTCGAAGGGTATATATAGGTATTTGTTAAGGGGCTTCTGAAAAATGGAAAACTGCAGCACGCTTGAAGACCCATCTCTATAGAGAAATAGATCAAGAAAAGAAATGCTAAGCTCGCTAATACAATGAGTAAGCTGAATACGTTGATCTTTGCTGTTGAGAGCGCCCAAAAATTCTAGCAGGGTGTCCTTAGGCCAGCACCAAATAGCAAAAATGTCATCAATGAAACGCTTGTATAAGATAAGATATTGGGAATAATGATCTACAATATCCTTTTCGTGATGATACATAAACGGGTTTGCCACTGTGACAGAAAAAGGAGTGCCCATAGCAATCTCAAACTTTTGATGAAAAATATCCGGACAAAATTCGGAAGATAAATAATTGTTTTCAAAAACAAGCCGGGCGAGCTGAATCAAAAGTGGGGTCTTCGGAGCCCCTGCTTCACGAAGGAGCAGGTCAAGGGCTATAAGCGCCTTCTTAGTGTCAACGTTCGGATAAAGCGATGCGACATCCGCAGTGACAAGGAAACAATCTCCATCGGACAAGGCTCACCTGAGTCCCTAAGTACTGCAGGCATGTGTACTTTAGCCTTAATAAGCTCATCAACAAAAGTACTAATAGGCCTAGTAATAAACGAATGGGAAGCGGCAATAGGTCTCCCCACCATAGGGTTTTTGGTGTATCTTAGGGATAACATAAAACTTAGCCGGACTAACAAAATGATCAAAGCTACGCAAAAATCGAGCTACGCTAGGGGAAATAAATCTACTGTAAATTGTCATAAGCTTTTCGCGAGAATTAACCACATTAAGACGATTAGCATACCAGCCCTGTTGCGTGACTTTATGATATGACAACTCGTCATGCAAATGTCTTAGTGTCTCAGCTTGAACCCAATCCGTGGAAACGAGAGCCGGCCCGAGATTTTTGTCGGTAGGCAAAATTTTAATGTTAGGGTTGGATTTCAGCTCGCCAAGTTCCTCTCGCTCGTGCTTTGTGAGGTTGTTCTTCCAATGCGGTTTGCCAGCCACAATGTTTTTAAGCAGCTCTTTGCATAACGCGAAGAGTTTGTCTTCAAGATCGGGATTTTCCCGCGGCGGATTCCAGCCTGTTGGAACGTACAATCTGGGATTGAAGTCCTTGTCTGGCGGGCAGTTGGCGAATTTATCCTGAAGGCGAACTCTTCGACAGAAGTCTTGGATTTGTAAGTCAAACTGAGCTTCGCTAGGGGGTAGAAGCGAGGGTCTAAACTTTAGACCCATCCCCATAACTCTAGCCTGCCGCTCAGTAAGCTTGAGAGAGGTAAAATTATGAATTTCCGAATTCCGTGGAAGCAAGTCGTATAGGGGTCGTTTGGCCATCTTGAATAACCATTTTTCGTGCGCCGAGCGCCCGTCTATTTTACGTGGCCTGAACCTTTTCCTCGGGCGTTTTTTGACCACTTTTGAGGTCGGTTAGACCGTTTGGCAGAGGTTGACCTTTGGCATTGCTCGGCTTGACCACGACTTGTGGATCTACTTCGACGTGACTTGCCTTTCGACTCGCCATTATTCCTTCTTTCGGATATGGAAACTTTCCGCTGCCGGTTTCCTCGTTAGGGTTTGTAGTGCCTGAAGTAATACCGCGGAGCTCGTTTCGAATAATATCTCTAATAGACTCTTCCGAGGGAACGAAAACCTCGCTATCGTCCATCATTGCTTGACTTCTGTTTTTTGCCGTTCGGCTTATCTCCGCTTGGAGGGCTTTGGAAGCCCGCGAGACCGCAGTATCTTTGGATAACTTCTCCACAAATGCTACGGCGGCCTCTACGAGACTGGTCGCTTTTGCCTTCAAGATATCGTTCTTCAGAAGCTGTTCCTTCCAGCGCGCAATAGTGCTATCTATATTGGCAGTAGTAGCACGGATTGCCTCCTGATGATCCTTAACCTCGGAGCGGAGATGATCAATTGTAGCCTCCAGCAATTGTATTTCTGCCTTGTGGATAATGCCGTCAAATTTGGCTTGAAGTGCATCCACGTTTTGACCTTTTGCTTGGACTTTTTTTTATCCTGAGGCCAGATGGAGAAGTGCCTCGAGCTGCGTGTTCCTCCAGCAGTTTAATCCTGCCAATGAGACTGGAGTGGGCTTTATCGGCATCAGCTCGCATGCGAACGGCCTTTCTAAGGACAGTTTCGATAGTGGAGTCTAGGCTGCTGGTAGAGCTATGCGCTGGATTTTGCTCTGGATCCGACGAGTCTGAAGGTCGAGGGCGTTTTGGTCCTGAGCAAATATTTCCAGTTGCGTTCGCCATGTGGCTTCTACTAGTATTGACTTGACAATTTTTAAAACTAAACTCGTGAGCAGCACTAGCATGATGGTCGCAAACATTGAAGGTTTGGCCGGATTTACGAAAAGGAACAGGCGCAGCTGTGAAATTTTTTACGCAATGCGTAAGAATACTTTGGGGCCACGGTCTTAGCTAAAACCGTTCATTTATTTTTAGTCATATTATGGCTTAAATACAGGCGTTTAGTATTTGATTGTAAAACTCCCTGAAGAAGTCTACGTTAGTTGGACGAAACGCGTAGGAGAATAAACAAGTTTTACAGCAACAGTTCGCAGAGTGCTGCCCACTAGTTTAGTTTTAAAAATTTTAAAAATTAAAAAAAAAAATATGCAAATTCAGCATCAATATGCAAATTTAAGTCGAATCCTTCAATTCTGAATCGCGTTGTGCCACAAGTTTCATTTCATAACTTGACAAAATAGCTCTTAATCTTTAACTATAACATATTTTTAGGTCAGTTTAGGTGCCACTTTTGAGAAGTTTGGGATGTTTTTGAGGCATCTCATAGTTCGTGCATTTTGCTTTCTTAATTGGGTTAGTGAACTAAAAGGGAGACAATTTTCCACGAGCGTAGAGGGAGGGTGAGTTTTCGGTGTTCAATTAACAAGTCAGCGGTAGTTTGGCAAAATGAGGTAGGTACTTTAAGTAGGGTTATTAAAGTGTCTCAAGAACTGTATAAATTGCCATACATAGATTTGTATTACCATGTGTAGCGGTGTATTGCCATGTATTGTCATGTATTACCATGTATTGACATTTATAGCCATGTATTACCATGTATTGCTATGTATTGCCGTGTATTGCTTTGTAATGCAATGTATAGCCATGTATTGCCATGTACTGCCATGTATAGCCATGTAATGCCATGTATTGTCATGTATTACAATGTATTGCTATGTATTACCATGTATTGCTATGTATTACCATGTATTGCCATGTATAGCCATGTATAGCCATGTATTACCATGTATCACTGTGTATTACCATGTATTACCATGTATTGTCAAGTCTTACCATGTATTGCCATGTATAGCCGTGTATTGCCATGTATTGCCATGTATTACTATGTATTGCGATGTATTACCATGTATTACAATGTATTGCCAAGTATTGCCGTGTATAGCCATGTATAGTCATGTATTGCCATGTATTGCCATGTATTACCATATATTACCATGTATTGTCGTGTCTTACAATGTATTGCTACGTATAGCCATGTATTACCATGTATTGCCATGTACTGCCATGTATTGCCATGTAATGCCATGTATAGCCATGTATTGCCATGTATTGCTATTGTTACGTATATGGTTGTTTTTACTATATTTAGCGGTTTGTAAGTTTATGCATACTAGGATGCATCTTACATGAAGGAGGCATTAAAAGCATGACATTGGGCTACGTTGTCGCGCTGTGTAAAACCGAACATAATGTCAGAATTTTATGCTTATTTTACCGCGAGCTAGATACGCTCAACAAGAGAAGTCCAGTTTACAGTCAATGAAAGCGGTTCCATGCATAGCGGACCAATTTTCAAGCGAATTCATGCGACTGAGAGTATCTCAAGCCGTTTAGTTCACTGGACCACGTGCGAGTATAGAGCAATGCAAACATCTCCAGAAGCGGCGCCGTCGGCGCCAGTTCAAATAATCAGTGTTCCTTCAAATTTTCCAGTACCAAGCGCTATGGTTTGCAAAGGCGATCTCACCAGTAACTGGGAATTTTTTAAGCAACAATGGCAGGATTACGAAGTGGCAACAGGATTGGATCAAAAGAGTCAAGCGATTCGTGTGGCGACCTTTCGTTCAGTCATGGGAGAAGACTGTCTCCAGATCTTTCTTAATCTTAACTTTGGCGATGAAGAAATCACGATCACGTCATCGTTGTCTGCGCTAGAAGATTATTTTCTTCCTAAACGAAACGTAGTGTACGAAAGGTATGTTTTCAATTCCTGTATTCAAACACCTGAGGAAACTGTTGACGGCTATGTTAATAGGTTGAGGAAACTAGCATCCTCTTGTCTGTTTGGAACACTCACCGAAGAGATGATTCGTGATAGGCTTGTCGTGATTGTGCTTGTCAGCACAAAAAGCTAGATATGCTCCGGGAGAAAGATTTATCCTTGGATAAGGCTCTCGACATGTGCAAATCGAGTGAGATTACAAACAAGCAGATCAAGTCGTTTCAGCACGAAAGCAAGCAGTCGAATGAAGAGCTTCATCTAGTCCAAGACAGAAGTAAAACAAGACCATTAAAGGTTCAAAGAAAACGTGGAAACGCAAGTTTTGTGGTCAGGCCAAATGGCATTCAAAGCCCACCGATTGCAATGTAAAATTTGTAAGAAGATGAATCACTTCAGCAAAGTGTGTTTGTCAAGAAAAGATCGCCGTGGAACCGTCCATTTTGCAGAAGAAGCTAAAGTCGATGATTATGATTCAGATTTCTACAATTAAAGGGCATGGAAAGCAAATGACATCCAGCATTACATTTTTGGTAGATGATGATGAGAAAGTACCGTTAGTTTGTCAGTTAGACACTGGTTCCACCTGCAATGTGATCAGCTACACGGATCTAGTCCAGCTGTTGCAAGATGGCAATCCTCCTCTAAACGTGACCAAATCTAAGCTCAAATTATTTGATGGTACCTTCATGCAACCAGTAGGTGTAGTAAGAAGTGGAAAACAGTACGACCTGCAATTCCAAGTAGTAGAGAGCCGGAATAAGCCCCTTCTATCAGCTGAGACATGTGCACAGTTGGGTCTTCTTAAGGTGGAAATAGAACCCTATGAAGAGGTCCACTCACTGGAAAGCAAATTCCTCACTAGAGAGCAAATTATGGCCAACTACGGGGATGTTTTTGAAGAATTAGGACATATTGGAAACACGACAATTGTCACTGATCCTCTGGTAAATCCCACACAGCACTCTGCACGCCGAGTTCCAAAAGCCCTCAGAGATAAAGTTAAAGAAAAACTGGAGGACTTAGAAAGCAAAGGAATTGTGGAAAAGGTCACCATACCAACAGAATGGATTAGCAGCATGGTAGTGGTCACCAAGCCAAGCAAGATAAGAATTTGTCTTGATCCCCAAGATCTGAATAAAGCAGTCATTCGCCCCAAGTATGAAATGCCAACCCTAGATGAATTACTACCCAAGCTCAGTAAAGCAAAGGTATTCACCACTTTGGATGCTAAAGATGGTTTTTATCACGTTGAATTAGATGAGCAGAGCAGTCTGAAGACCACATTCTGGACACCCTTTGGCCGCTAGAAGTACCTAAGGTTACCTTTTGGAATTAATCTAGCTCCAGAAGAGTTTTTACGTAAACTCCATGAGAAGCTGGAAGGTCTTCCTGGGGTAGCAGTGATAAGGGATGATATATTGGTTATGGGCTATGGAGAAAATGAAGTTGAAGCTAATAGAAATCATGATGAGAACTTGACCCGCCTACTTGAGCAGGCTCGCAAAGCCAACCTACGCTTAAACAGCAGCAATTTAAATCTTCGTAAGACTGAAGTCAAATTCATGGGTCATCTAATTACAAAAGATGGTCTAAAGCCCGATCCAGAAAAGATTAAGGCTGTTCAGCAAATGCCAAGACCCACATCTAAGAAGGAGCTGCTGGGCCTGCTGGGATTTGTAAATTATTTATCTAAGTTTCTTCCAAAGCTGTCCGAAGTTGTGCAGCCACTGAGAGAAATGACCGCAAAGGAAGCAAAGGTCATCTGGTCACAGCAGCATGAGACAGCATTCAAGGAAGTACGTGAGCTAGTAGTCAAGCATCCTGTGCTTAAGTATTATGATGTACAAGAACCAGTGGTGGTGCAGTGTGATGCCAGCGAACGTGGGTCAGGAGCAGCCCTTCTGCAAAACGGCCAACCCGTTGCTTTTGCTTCACGATCTTTATCACAGACTGAGAGAAAGTACGCCCAAATTGAGGAAGAGTGTTTGGCTATTGTCTTCTCCTGCGAAAGATTTAGTCAGTACCTTACTGGTCGTAAGAAAATCACAGTTGAAACAGACCACAAGCCGTTGCGGAGCATCTTCCGAAAGATCATTCTTTCTGCTCCTTGTCGCCTGCGACGTATGTTACTAAGGCTGCAGCGCTTCAATCTTGATGTTAACTATAAGCCTGGCACTCAGATGTTCATTGCCGATCACCTCTCCAGAGCCTCACTGAAAGCTACAGACAACACACAAGACAATTTTCAAGTATTTGTTCTTGAGCTCGAGTCACTCAATCCTTTTGACTCTATCAAAGTAGCCCCTGAGAGATTAACACAGTTGCAGAAAGCCACAGCCCAAGACCTGGCTCTAGAAACCCTTAAGACAACAGTAGTTGCCGGCTGGCCTGAGAAGAAAGAACAAGTGCCAATACAAGTGAGAGATTTTTGGAATTACAGAGAAGAGATTTCACTCCACAATGGGATTTTGTTCAAGAACCAAAGAGTGATAGTCCCTAAAGCCATGAGACCAGAGATACTTTCGAGGATCCATTAAGTCACCAAGGTGTTGCTTCATGTTAAGAAAGGCTAGAGATATTGTGTTCTGGCCAAGAATGAGTGCTGAAATCAAAGACCAGGTTGAGAAGTGCTCAGTATGTGCCGAATTTCAAGCCAAGAATGCAAGTCAGCCAATGCTGTCACACCAAATTCCTGACCGTCCTTGGAGTAAGATAGCTACAGATTTGTTCGCATTACACTCCAAGAACTACATCACGGTTGTGGACTACTTTTCAGACTTCATTGAAGTTAGTGAGCTGCAGGACACTACTTCCACTTCAGTCATAAAGGCTCTGAAAGAGCAGTTTAGCAGACACGGTATCCCGGATACAGTAGTTTCAGACAATGGATCCCAGTTCAGCAGCCAAGAGTTTCATGAGTTCGCCCTCTCCTGGGAATTCCATCATGTCACATCTTCACCTCACCATCCAAAGAGTAATGGTAAAGCAGAATCGTCTGTAAAGATTGTTAAGCAGCTTTTCAAGAAAGCAGAGCGTGACAGACAAGACCCCTGGCTAGCTTTACTCGACTATCGTAACACCCCCACAGAAGGTGTAAGGGCAAGCCCCGCCCAGAGGCTTATGTCAAGGCGAACCCGTACCTTGTTGCCGACCGCTGCAAGTCTGCTGCGCCTTACTGTAAATCACAGTTCTGTTGATAGTCTTCAGCTGAAAAGACAAAAGGTCAAATTCTACCATGACAAACATGTCAGACTGTTGCCGGAGCTGGTAATTGGGCAGGAAGTGAGAGTCACACCCCTTCGTAAGAATCAAACATGGGAGCAAGGAATCTGCACTGAGAAGCTTTCAGACAGGTCATACGTAGTTCAGTCGGGTGGAACGTCGTTAAGAAGAAACAGGCAGTTCCTAAAGTTTGCAAGGGAACCGTCAGTACAAGCAAATACAGACGCCAACCTTGACAATGTTGCACACAGAGATCCGGTACCAGCAGTCCTGCCGAAACCTCCACAAGTTGCGACATTCCTGAAGAGACAAAGCTTCAGTACCTGGTATCAAGACAAGGACCCGCAGCATTCGTTCACCAGTGAGATTCAAGGATTTTGACATGAAATGTTGAACTGTTCGAGACTTTGAAAGGTTGAACTATTTGACGCTTTGAAATGTTGAACTGTTTGAGACTTTGAACATTTTAGTTTTTGGGGGGTCTAGGGTCGGTCAGTCTGATCAGATTCCACTTAAGAGAGGACAGTGTTCTGATTGAGTTAGTTAAACTTTTGATTGCTTATTTTTTTTTTGTTAAGAAAAGGGAGATGTTACGTATATAGTTGTTTTTACCATATTTAGCTGTTTGTAAGTTTATGTAAACTAGGATGCAACTTACATGAAGGACGCATTAAAAGCAAGGCATCGGGCTACGTTGTCGCGCTGTGTAAAACCGAACAGCCATGTATTACTATGTATTACCATGTATTGCCATGTATTGCCACGTATGGCCATGTAATACCATGTATAGCCATGTATTGCCATGTATTACCATGCATTACTATGTTTTACCATGTATTGCCATGAATAGCCATGTATTACCATATACTGCCATGTTTAGCCATGTGTTACCATGTATTGCCATATATCGCCATGTATTACTATGTATTGCCATTTATTGCAATGGATCACCATGTATTTCTATTTATTGCCATGTATTACCATGCATTACCATGTATAGCCATGTATTGCAATGTGTAACCGTGTAATGCCATGTATTGTCATTTATTACCATGTGTTGCCATGTATTACCATGTATTGCCGTGTATAGCCATGTATAGCGATGTATTACCATGTATTGCCATGAATAACCATGTATTACCATGTACTGCCATTTATAGCCATATATTGCCAAGTATTCCCATGTATTACTATGTATTTCATGTATTACCATGGAACACCATTTATTGTCATTTATTACCATGTATTGCCATGTATTTCTATGTATTACCATGTATTACCAAGTATTGCCATGTATTGTATTACCATGTATTGCCATGTATAGCCATGTATTGCTATGTATTACCATACATTACTATGTTTTCTCATGTATTGCCATGTATAGCCAAGTATTACAAATACGGCCATGTATAGCCATGTGTTACCATGTATTGCCATGTATAGCCAAGTATTACCATATACGGCCATGTATAGCCATGTGTTACCATGTATTGCCATATATTGCCATGTATTACTATGTATTGCCATTTATTGCCATGGATCACCATGTATGTCTATTTATTGCCAGTGTATCACCATGTATAGCCCAGTATTACCATGTCTTGCCATACATAGCCACGCCAAGCCATGTATTGGCATGTATTGCCATGTATTACTATATATTACCATGTATTGTCAAGTATTTTCATTTACTGCCATGTATAGCCATGTCTTGCCATGTATTACCATGTATTGCCATGGATAGCCATGTATTAACATGTATTGTCATGTATTACCATGTTTTGCCATGTATTACCATGTATTGCCATGTATAGCCATGTATTATCATGTATTGCCATGTACTGCCATGTATAGCCATGTATTGCCATGTATTACCATGTACTGCCATGTACAGCCATGTATTACCATGTACTGGCATGTACAGCCATGTATAGCCATGTATTGCCACGTATTACTATGTATTACCATGTATTGCAATGTATTACCATGTATTTCCATGTATAGCCATGCATTACCATGTATTTTCTGGCATAGCCATGTATTATCATGTACTGCCATGTATAACCATGTATTGCCATGTATTACCATGTATAGCCATGAATTACCATGCATTCCCAGGTATAGCCATTTATTGCGATGTATTACCATGTATAGCCATGTATTACCATGTATTGCCATGTATTACCATGTATAGCCATGAATTACCATGCATTCCCAGGTATAGCCATTTATTGCGATGTATTACCATGTATAGCCATGTATTACCATGTATTGCCATGTATTACCATGTATTACCATGTACTGCCATGTATAGCCATGTATTACCATGTACTGGCATGTACAGGCATGTATAGCCATGTATTGCCACTTATTACCATGTATTGCCATGTACTGCAATGTATTACCATGTATTTCCATGTATAGCCATGTATTGCCATGTATTGTCATGTATTGCCATGCAAAGCCATGTATTACCATGTGTTGCCATGTATAGCCATAGGTTACCATGTATAGCCGTGTATTGCCATATATTGCCATGTATTACCATGTATAACCATGTATTGCCATGTACTGCCTTGTACTACCATGGATTGCCATGAATTGCCATGTATGGCCATGGATCGCCATGTATTGCTATTTATTGCCATGTATTACCATGTATAGCCATATATTGCCGTGTATTGCCTTGTACAGCCTAGTATTACCATGTCTTGCCGTGTATAGCCAGGCCAAACCATTTTTTACCATGTATTGTCATGCATAGCCATGTATTACCATGGATCGGATCACCATATATTTCCATGTATTACCATATATTGCCATGTATAGCCATGTACTGCAATACTTACCATGTATTGCCATGTATAGCCATGTACTGTCATGTATAGCCATGTACTATTATCTATGATAAGTACTGACATGTTTTGCGTGTATAGCCATGTATTTCAATGTATTGCCATTTATTACCCTTTATATTGCTATGTGTAGCCATGTATTGACCATGTATGTCTTAAGTTGGAATAAAGTCAGTGAATTGAAAAGTATTTTTTTTGTTTGTTACACAGTTCAGGGGTAGCCCAAGAAAAGGCTCTTTTTCCGAATGAAAAGATATTTTCCCGTGGAGCGCAACGTCCTTTCAGGATTGTAAACGGATACTAGTTGACAAAGATATTCAAGTGCCATTCGTGACTTTAGAAAATACTCTCGTTAAAAGTCAGTTAAGAACTTATTGCCCCCGAAGAGCAGGAATTTGGCCCATCGTAAGAAAACCGCCTTTGACAGCTCTCTACATCAACCAAAGGTGTTGCGGGAGACTATAACGACAAACAGGGCATGCGTATTCAGTAACGGGCAATAATAACAAAATTAAAGTTTTAACATGTGTGCGCTAACAGTTTTTTCGGGTGAGAAGGGACTTACGTTGTCAAAATCCTTGAATTTCAACTTGGGAATCTAAGAAAAAAACTAAGAAGTGAGAAAACGCGAAAATTAAAGTTTGAAAGCAACGAGCCTTGAAACACACAAAACCGATCGAAATCCACCAATCAAAAATCATGAACCATGACCTTTTGAACCCCTTGAAGTAAACGTCTGTTGTCTATGAGATCAGGCGCAGAAAGCGCAGAGTCTTCAGTTGGTGGGTCTTTGACCTCCCTCTTGTCTAGGAAATATTTTAGCGACACCAGACCTTCATCATTTGGATGACTGTATACAGTGATTTGATGTCCATTGTGAACACCAAACTCTGCCCCCCGTGTTTGCTGAAACGAAAAGAGTCTAGTATGTTCAGAATATGGGTGGTGTCTTTCACGTAACTCTCCAAGCCGCGTACGAAGGGAGCTGTTACCTTGTCGAGATACAAAGCTAAATTCTTTGTAGGACATGAGTAAGCGGAGACAATTGGTCGTCCAGAGTTGCCAGGTTTGTGTATCTTAGGCAACAAATAAAACTTAACTGTTTAACACACAAATGCTACGCAGGAACCCCTTTTATTTGTCATAACATTGTAATGCCGTGTCCTTTTACAGCAATCACCTCTAACCGGAGTTAATTTAACTCTTATACAATAATAAAGTTAAAGAACGCTTTGCAACCTTAGCATTTAACTCATGTATAGATCGAATTAGAGAGACATCTACAGATATGAGTAAAGCCTTCGACTCTCTTTGCCATTCTCTTATTGTAAAGAAACTCCAGGCTTATGGCTTTGGACAAAATTCTCTCAACCTTCTGAGATCATACTTCGACAATAGGCTTAACAGAGTGAAAATAAAAGACGTGACAAGTGACCGGAAAAGGATGTTACTTGGCTGTCAGCAAGGCTCGTCTTTCGGTCCCCTTCTGTGGAATTTGTTCCAAAATGACATGTCATTCCACATAATAATAATGCTAATCCGAGTATGTACGCCAATGACCATCAGAGGTATGTCATGGGGAAGAAGCAGGAAAGTTTCAGCTACTAACAATCAACCCGAGAAATGTTGATACAGACAACGATAATCAAGATATATCCGTAGATGGACATGCTGTTGAGAGAAAGGGGGAAATAAAGTCATATAAGTGAACTATGCACTAAGGCCAGTCAAAAAGTAGGGGGTCCTAGTACGGCTACGCAACTTGATACCTTGTAATGCTAAACTATCACTTTACAGGTATTCAATTCTGCCCCATCTAACCTACTGCCATCTAGTCTGGCACTTTTGCAATGCATCGGATCGGAGAAAGCTAGTGCGGATTCAGGAGCCAGCGCTAATAGCGGTGTACAAAACCAGATCAGCGTCCTATCAAGAACTGCTAGACCGCGCCACACTACCTACGTTGTACAATCGACGTCTACAAGACATTGTCACTATGATGTTTAAAGTTAAGCACAGTCTCGTACCCGTGAATATTCCTGATTTATTTAATTTAAAGAACACTCAGTATAACGTACGGAATAGTGTCTTCCAACTGCCAGGATTCGAAACTGTTAGATTTGGTAGGAATTCAATAAAATATATGGGACCTCTCAATTGGTCGAAGTTGCCAAGACACCTAAGAATGATAGAAACTTTGAACTCATTTAAGAGGAACATTAGGAAAGTTGACCTTTCAACTCTTGTAAATATTTAGACGTTTTAGGCTTTTCAACAAATTTTGTAAATAATTATACAATCTACACGCAATCTTTCGTTTTTACTTTTTAGTGATTTTTATCTGGTATTTGACTTATTATTTTACAGTGTCCCCCATTAGCTTATAGCTAAGAACATAGACACTCAAAAAAAGTTTTTTATTCATTCACTCATTCTATGGAAATAGAAAACATCCGCACAGAATTTAACAGAATTAAAATTTCAGGGAATTTCTGTAATGGTCTGCCCTGCGAGAAGAGTCTACATTTTCGCGGCGTGAGCTGGCGTGCGAAACGTACTGCTACCCACTTCACTCACGCTGCGAAAATGTAGCCTCTGCTCGCAGCAGGGTATAGTAATTGTCCATCGTTCTAGCTTCAATCATGAACAAATGTCCTTGGGACAGTAATACAATATTCATGTTTTTCGATCATTTCTGGATTCCCTCATAAAACATTGCATCCTTTTCGAAATTTTCTTGCAGTTCTCCCTCCCCCCCCTTTCCCTTACCCTATACAAAGTTGAAACTGGGGAAAATTCTGGATACACGCGTCCAACTTTTCTTGTGGGATGAGGGCAGGAGTTGGGCGTGTGTGAATAGGAAAACGCGGCAGAGTCTTACATTCACGGCCCCCAAAGTGACAAATTTAGTTCGTTTCCAAGCAAAGATTCAGTTGTGAATGATAAACTTGTGTCTGGCAAATCCTCCAAGTGCTTTTAAAATACACAGTTATATACACGAGTTATAAATTACGTCCACGCTTATCAACTTGGATCAATCGACGGTCAAACACGAGATTTTCTCTTTCATGGTTTTTGATGCTTGTTTAAGAGCGTAAAATGAGAAGAAGAAATGAAATTTCAGTTTTGCTTTAATACTTTAAAAACAGCTTTTCTACAGAATGTCAGTGAACAGATACGTAACGCACAGGCGGTGTGTGTCACGACCCACAAAGGTTCATGGGTAAAACTGCTAATGTACCTTATTTCAGTCGTGATATGGTCGAGTGAGCCTCCCACACAAATGTTCTTAGGGGCTCGTCACGCGTTCCTGCCCAGATCCATTGCGATTTAAGCGATTTCCTTTAACTCGGCTGCGTTTACACTAATTCGGGGTTAAAGAAAATAGCTTAAATCGCAATGGATCGGAAAAATAACCACACAGCAAGCAGAGACAAGTTAAGTAATTAAGGTAAGGTGAATTCTATTGAAAATTCTTGCTATTATTTATCTTCTTGAATATTTTATCTGAATTCTCATAAAAATCCTTTACTTTCAAGGCCATTTTAAGGATTATGCAGTATGAAACCACATGTATTAATGATTAAACTCTCATATTGAGCTTGGGCCGCCTATGATGTAGCCTGCATAGCAGGCGCTTGGAAGTAGTGGGCACAAGAAAAAAAGCGCGTGCGAGAAGGAGACGCTACGCAGGCTACCTATGATGAAGATCTGCATACACATAGCACACACAGCAGGCAAATTATTTGAAAGGCACGCTTTAAGTCTCCGCACTGGGTTATGAAAAAGGTTTTGTTTCTAGAGATTGTTACAATATTCAAACTTATTTACCTTTTCTGGTTTAAAATGGAACAAATTCTTCCTGGATTTGGCGTTACTCGCTTCAAGTCGGCTTCCGCTTCGGCATGTTTTCCCAGCCCGCTTCCCGGGAGTTGTGCTACTTGGCTGAGACGATCTCTTCATTCAACGCCTCGTAACGGGAATCAAAGAAAGACTATCGTCAACTCATCGGAACGTTGTTTAGAAAATAATCAAATGGTAATCAATTCCGGTTTTCCAACAGTAAATTGTAGGAAATGATAGAAATTCAGATTGTTTATCCATATATTAAATATACTATCTTTTCCCTGGAAACACAATACTTTTCTCGCTGTTTATTACACTTTATTAAATAATAGTTATGTATTTAGGTATATATTTAAAGAAAAACAACAAAACAAATAAGTAAAAAAAGACCAAACAAACCAAAACGGGAAAAAAAAGAAAGAAAAAAAGGAGGAAGAAAGAAAGGAATGAGCAGGACTTTAGCCTGCGAAAACATCCGTTTCTCCTCGCTCTTAGGAGAAACGGATGTTTTCGCAGGCTAACAGGACTCGAACCCGGCACCTTCAACTCGTTGTGACTTTACCTACCCACTACACCACTAACGTGGATTACGTCATCTTGGCGAGAAGTTTTTTATTTAATGCCTTTTCCATAGACTGTTCACAGTCCCCTATTTTTTCGTGAGATCGTTGAGATACAGCGCGTCTTACCGTTAATGACGGTCATCTTGATTTTCAAATGTAC